GAACAAGGCATATGGAACTTGATTTATGAAGAGCAGAATCAACTACCCCCACCGATCCGTATTAATTGACTCACACTTAGTACAATTTCGTACTGAAGTTGTACTAAGTGTGCGTCAATTAATATGGACCGCAGGGAGTACCGTGTTTATCTCAAAAAAACCTAATGTGTTTACATCTATAAAAATGGACAAACTAATGTCTTCCGTAACAATGTACAGGATTAAATGTAAGCAAATATTCATAGCTAATAAAGGAAAAGCAAACCTACAAGGAAAAACATGAAGCTAAGTGAAGCCTCGAGGAAATGGATCTCTTACTGCATATTTAGAAAAACACTAGCTAAATGCCCGTGCGTTGCTACGGTAAAAAAAAAAAAAATCTAAGGTCTTGCGGTCCATGTTCACATCTAGCAATATGTCTTTCTTCTAAGGTTTCTTTACATCTTTAGATGGAGGAAGATTTACACTATCAGATTTTTAACCTGTTTGAAAAGTAAGTTTCACGTTTTCTATTAGAAGGCAATGCATGCAGTAACCAATGTTGTGACTCAATAAACTGCCCACTTGATCAAAGACGTGTTAATTGCATAATGATATGACGTTTTATTCAAACCAAAGGGACACCCAAAAACATGTGAGCAAGATGATCAATATCAGAAAACCAAGACAGAGGAATGATATACTCCCTCCGTCCCAAAATTCTTGTCTTAGATTTGTCTAAATACGGATGTATCAGTCCCAAAATTCTTGTCTTAGATTAGTCTAGATACGGATGTATCTAATACTAAAACGTGACTTGATACATCCGTATTTAGACAAATCTAAGACAAGAATTTTGGGACGGAGGGAGTAGTTATTTTGATATTATCTGAGGACGACCACCTTGAGTGCAGAACCAGATGTATTTCAACTGTTGTTAAACATCGATGGTCCTGCGTATCACAAGAAAAGAGGGGAAATCATTTTTGTGGATTAAAGCTCATGATCAGTGAAAATATTCCCAGTGTACTCTCCTTGCATCTGAAATGAGCTACCAGATAAATGTTTCCAGTTGAATTATGTATCCCAATGGCAAAGCTGAACTTGCAGGAAAACACATCAAATCAAATCAAGAGACATCAGAAAACACATAGATACACACTCTTATGTATAACTAAACTACTAATTCAGTGTAAAGCCAACACAACCACAAAGTTCAGTCAACTTGTAGCGCTGAACTTGAATAAGAACAGATTGCCTGTTTCTTGTCCAAACAATCC